AATACATGTAGCTGTGTTGAATGCCCATCTAAAACAGTATCAATGAGATTGTTCAATGTGAGCCAGGGGATGTTCCACTATCCATGAATCTGGATAGTAACTTCACAAACAAACTTTGGGTTTGAATGGCTTTAAGCTGATCTGTCGGCTACTCTGCTTCCCTTGGCGCTGGACGATCCAACTGGCTTGGGTTGTTTCACACACCTTGGGCAATACTGAGAGGTAGTGGCAAGGACACCAAGTACTGTGTGGTTTCCTTCCCCAAACTGTAGGTACAGACAGTGCTGTTGTAACACTAAAGAGAGAGACTGAACCTTATTACTCAAATCGACAACCGTAACCTGCAAGAATGCCTAAGAGTTTTCCTTAACGGAATGGCCTACTACTACTACTACTACTACTACTGCTGCCACCGTTGAGCTGACAATCACAGTTTGTTTCGCAGCCTGTGCTACCGTATCATTACACTATACATGAGAGGGGTGAGGGCATTTTAAGTACACAATTTAGTTAATACAAAAAAATGTATCTATGGGTTTGTAACAATGGTGAGACAATGAGGGAAAAAAAGTGGTGATACATTTACATATACCCCTCCACCCAATAAAGGGAATTCACACCTCATTGACATACACCCCTCCACCCAACCAAATAAAGGGAATTCACTTCACGTCTCTTTCAGGCACATAAGTCTTCATGGATCCCGCTGGTACAGTAGCGTGTCAGGAATGCTTTTCACACATAATGAAGGCGACAGGGAAGTTCATGGAGAGGAAGACATCATCTTGGCAGAGAAGAAATGAACTAGGGTCATGTTCATTAGGCACCAGACAGACGAAACCAACTGAAACGGGGAACTCCCTAGACAATAGACTGGTTGGTTGTTTAGCGTCAAAACTGACGCGTGCGCAACTATGGGTCAAAACAGACGGCGTTGGCTTAGATTGTTGACACAATCTATATTTCGTCGCCAATGTTTATTGAAAACATAAATATATTTTCACAATGAGCACTTGTCTCAAGTACATTGTTACAGTTGGTTAGCTAGCTAGCAAATTTTAGCATAGATGTGACATCAGTCAAAACACCTCAAAACAAGACTATGCTATCAAGAACAAGATAAAACTAACTGAAACGAGCCACCTACTATTCCCCACATGGCAGCTTCATGTCATTGTTGCTAACCATCTGCCCATTCCAGAATCACAACACAGTCTTCTGCCCCAATGACGCGCGCGCATTGATTCGTGACATTGTCAGCTAACCAGTCTATAAGAAACCCTCATTTTCATTTCCCAGTGCAAAACGTTATGAAAACGTTGCGTTGCCTAATGAACACAACCCTGCTCTGAAGACTCTGAGGAAGGACATATCATATGCTTTGTGACCTCAGTGAGTTAAAGACTTCTGAGAAAGAGATTAAAGAAACTGATCAGTGAGCACATGAATCCACACAACTCTGTGCAGCATGCATCGCTTGGGGTTGCAGGAAATTAAGATGTGCCACACTGACTGCAAAACATCTTCAGACTGACTTAATTCACCTAGATGACGACTTGACTTTGTCACACCCTGGCTCTGGGACTCTATATGTTGAGCCAGGGTGTGTTCATTCTATGTGTTGTATTTCTATGTCGGGAGTTCTGGTTGTTGTGTTTCTATGTTGGCCAGAGTGGCTCCCAATCAGAGGCAACGAGTGTCAGCTGTGGCTGGTTGTCTCTGATTGGGAGCCATATTTAAACTGTCTGTTTTCCCTTTGTGTTGGTGGGATCTTGTTTCCGTTTGGTTTGTTCCTTTTTGGTTATGTTAAACCGTAGGACTGCACGTTTCGTTTTGTTGTTTTGTTGTTCCTATTATCACTGAAGATAATAAAGATTAAATATGTTCGTTCATCACGCTGCGCCTTGGTCTACTCTCTACGACGATCGTGACAGAAGATCCCACCCTACAAGGACCAAGCAGCGTGTCCAGGAGCAGGCTGCCTGGACATGGGAGGAAGCGCCAGGAAAGGAGCTGGAGAGGTTGGCGATGGCCCAGGTGGGCAAAGTGTGGTCCTGGGAGGACATGCTCGGGGGAAAAGGGCCATGGGCTAGGATTAAGGCCCTGGCGAGTGAGGAGCAGCGGCGTCAGCAGTGTCGGCGTCAGACGGACGAGAGGCAACCCCAAAAACATTTTAGGGGGGGGGCACACGGCATGGGCGACTGGGCAGCAGGAGGCTGCCACAGGGCGATTTGGGAGATTTGGAGAGGAGGCCACCGGGTTTGGGGGGCCAGAAGGCAGGTTGGTGGAGCCTGGATGGAGAGCAGAGCCAACTACCCGTACTCAGGCATGGCAGCATGGGACTGGGCAGGTTCCGCGGTATGCGGAGCTGCGTACTGTGCCACGAGTGGTCCGGCATAGTCCGGTACGTCCTGTGCGAGCACCCCGCACGTGTCGTGCGAAGGTGGGCATGCAGCCAGGACGGAGTGTGCCGGCTCAGCGCTCGTGGTCTCCAGTGCCGCTCCTCAGTCCCGGATATCCTGCGCCAGTGTCACGTGCTGTTATGCCAGTACGGGTACACAGCCCTGTACGTCCTGTGCGGATGCCTCACACAGAGTGTGTGAAGGTAGGCATTCAGCCAGGACGGGTTGTGGCCGCTCTTCACTCCAGGTCTCCTATCCGTCTCCACAGCCCGGCCCGGCCTGTTCCTGCTCCTCGCACCAAGCCTCCGGTGCGCATCGCCAGCCCAGCCTGTTCCTGCCCCTCGCACCAAGCCTACGGTGTGCGTCGCCAGCCCGGCCCGGCCTGTTCCTGCTACTCGCACCAAGCCTACGGTGCGCGTCGCCAGCCCGGCCCGGCCTGTTCCTGCCCTTCGCACCAAGCCTACGGTGCGCATCGCCAGCCCGGCCCGGTCTGTTCCTGCCACTCGCACCAAGCCTACGGTGTGCGTCGCCAGCCCGGCCCGGCCTGTTCCTGCTACTCGCACCAAGCCTACGGTGCGCGTCGCCAGCCCGGCCCGGCCTGTTCCTGCCACTCGCACCAAGCCTACGGTGCGCGTCGCCAGCCCGGCCCGGCCTGTTCCTGCTACTCGCACCAAGCCTACGGTGCGCGTCGCCAGCCCGGCCCGGCCTGTTCCTGCCACTCGCACCAAGCCTACGGTGCGCGTCGCCAGCCCGGCCCGGCCTGTTCCTGCCACTCGCACCAAGCCTACGGTGCGCGTCGCCAGCCCGGCCCGGCCTGTTCCTGCCCTTCGCACCAAGCAAGGGGTGCGAGTCATCAGCCTGGAAAGGCCCATTCCTGCTCCACGCACCAAGCCAGGGGTGCGTATCGTCAGCCCGGTCCGGCCAGTTGCTGCTCCACGCACCAAGCCAGGGGTGCGCATCATCAGCCCGGTCCGGTCCGTTCCTGCTCCACGCACCAAGCCAGGGGTGCGCATCGTCAGCCCGGTCCGGCCAGTTGCTGCTCCACGCACCAAGCCAGGGGTGCGCGTCGTCAGTCCGGCACAACCCGTGCCTGGGTCACCGGTGCCTGATCAGGTACCGGTCGGCTGCTCCACACCGGAGCTGAAGCTATCCGCTCCTACTATGTCCAGTTCAGCTCCAGCCAGCGGGGCCAGATCGGACCAGGGGCGCTATGGGGGGATTATTGGAGGGTGGTGGGCAAGCCCGGAGCCAGAACCGCCGCCGAGGAGGAATGCCCACCCAGCCCTCCCCTGTTTGGTTCTAGTTGAGGCGCGGTCGCAGTCCACGCCTTTAGGGGGGGGGTACTGTCACACCCTGGCTCTGGGACTCTATATGTTGAGCCAGGGTGTGTTCATTCTATGTGTTGTATTTCTATGTCGGGAGTTCTGGTTGTTGTGTTTCTATGTTGGCCAGAGTGGCTCCCAATCAGAGGCAACGAGTGTCAGCTGTGGCTGGTTGTCTCTGATTGGGAGCCATATTTAAACTGTCTGTTTTCCCTTTGTGTTGGTGGGATCTTGTTTCCGTTTGGTTTGTTCCTTTTTGGTTATGTTAAACCGTAGGACTGCACGTTTCGTTTTGTTGTTTTGTTGTTCCTATTATCACTGAAGATAATAAAGATTAAATATGTTCGTTCATCACGCTGCGCCTTGGTCTACTCTCTACGACGATCGTGACAGACTTCAGTCACTTCTTTGTTCCTCATTTTGTGATTTCTTTCTAACATGTTTTATTTATTTTTTACTTTAAAGTCTATGTCAACACTAAACCACAATCTAACCTGGAATATTGCTCAGCTGCTATTTACAGAATACATTTTTTTTTTTAAATAAACAACTGACTGATTTACACAGTTTCTCACATTCGCCCATGTTTAATATTAGTGGTCCTATCAAAGACAAAACAAACTTGCTGTAAAGTGTAAACGTTAAAAAAAAACGATTCTGTATGGTGTTGGGCGTTAACCGTTTCGCTCTCCTCATGGAATCCTAGCTATGCTGCCAACTGTACGATTATAATCCCCACGATCATGCATTTTGTATTCTGACCCATTATTCAGTTCCGCTCAGGTTGTAGTAACGTTGCAGCTAGCCTCCGGAGCCGGTCAGGTGTGCAGGAACAGGACCTTCCTATCTATTTCAAGTATACACCTTTTAAAAGTCCCAGTTTTCTTCCATGTTCTGGTCCTTTTTGTTCAAGAGGGGTGTCATGTCCTCTCATCTTTCACAGTGAAGACTGGAATTCTGCCTTTGCGTTCCTGCTTGCTTATTATGTGTGAGGGGAGTATAAATAAAAACACAAATAAAAGAATTGAAGAGATTTTTTTCCTGTTTTAAAATCCTTCCGTACATTATGCAACAATGAACTTGAGATGTCTCGCCCGGACATGTTTTTGTTTTTTTAGTCGTCTTCCTGTTTATTTTTATTTGTATAAAACACAGCAGAATAAACATTGTTTTGGAAGCAAGGTCTCCTGGTGGCAAGTCAAAATGTTCTGTTCAAGAGGTCACATTACATTTTTTTTTTTTTTTTTTTTTCACGTACTGTATTTTCCACCCCATCTTAGTCCTGTTTGACCGGCAGCTGCTGCTTCCAGGCCTCGTTCAAGTAAACCAGTCGCTTGTAGTTGAGCATAAAGAGAATGAAGTTCAGTGCATATGTGGTGATGCAGATGACACAGAAGTCCTTGAGGACAAAGTAGAGGATGTAGCCCAGGTAGAGAGAGCCCCTCACGGTGATTCCTAGTAACAGTTGAAAGACATAAAATATGATTCCGTACACACTGTTTGGCTGGTTCATTGCACTGTCTTTTCCGAAGATCGAGCCCAACAGTCCAAATCCTCGACCCCACCTGGAGGTGAAGACTTTTGAACAGCTGATAGAATAGCTCACGTTGCACATTGCCCGATAATTGGAGTCTCTAGACTTTTCAGTTTCCACATGAAAGGCGTATAAGGACAACAATATGCCCAAGAGACAAACAAGGAGCCTGACTATTCTTTCCCATCGAGGGGTGGACACTCTCAGGACGGGCGCCGCCATCTTTCTCCGGCCTAGCTCGAGTCGTACACGCAACCGCTTACCATTGGGGACAACATGACAACAACATAGTAGCAACACAACATGGCAGCAGCACAAAACATGGTACAAACATTATTGGGCACAGACAACAGCACAAATCCCCAGCAGAGGTTGACCATTTTGAATCAATTTTCACATTCACTCTGTTGGTAATGCTTACAAATTGGATCATAACTAAAAGTAGCTCCATCCCACTCTGGAACTTTGATATGCCCTCATAGAGTATATTATGTTCAACAATATATACTGTAGATAAATAGCCAAATCCCAAAAAATATGTATGTTTCTATTTTTTTATATTCATAAATGTATGTAAAAAACAAAAGGTACTACTCACATTACAGAGCAAGCGGTACAGTTTTTAAAATATATGTACACTACCGTTCAAAAGTTTGGGGTCACTTAGAAATGTCCTTGTTTTCGAAAGAAAAGCAATTATTTTGTCCATTAAAATAACATCAAATTGATCAGAAATACAATGTAGACATTGTTAATGTTGTAAATGGCTATTGTAGCTGGAAACGGCTGATTTTTTTATGGAATATCTACATAGGCGTACAGAGTCCCATTATCAGCAACCATCAGTCCTGTGTACCAATGGCACGGTGTGTTTGCTAATCCAAGTTTATCATTTTAAAAGGCTAATTGATCATTACAAAACCATTTTGCAATTATGTTCGCACAGTTGAAAATTGTTGTGCTGATTAAAGAAGCAATGAAACTGGCATTCTTGAGACTATTTGAGTATCTGGAGCATCAGCAATTGTGGGTTCGATTACAGGCTCAAAATGTCCAGAAACAAATAACTTTCTTCTGAAACTCGTCAGTCTATTCTTGTTCTGAGAAATGAAGGCTATTCCATGCGAGAAATTGCCAAGAAACTGAAGATCTCGTACAACGCTGTGTACTACTCCCTTCACAGAACAGTGCAAACTGGCTCTAACCAGAATAGAAAGAGGAGTGGGAGGCCCCGGTGCACAACTGAGCAAAAGGACAAATACATTAGAGTGTCTAGTTTGAGAAACAGAAGCCTCACAGGTCCTCAACTGGCAGCTTCATTCAATAGTACCCGCAAAACACCAGTCTCAACGTCAACAGTGAAGAGGCGACTCCGGGATGCTGATGTTCTAGGCAGAGTTGCAAAGAAAAAGCCAAAACTCAGACTGGCCAATAAAAAGAAAAGATTAAGATGGGCAAAGGAACACAGACGCTGGACAGAGGATGATTGGAAAAAAGTGTTATGTACAGACGAATCGAAGTTTGAGGTGTTCGGATCACAAAGAAGAACATTTGTGAGACGCAGACCAAATGAAAGGATGCTGGAGGAAATGTGATGGTATGGGGGTGCTTTGGTGCTGGTAAAGTGGGAGATTTGTACAGGGTAAAAGGGATCTTGAAGAAGGAAGGCTATCACTCCATTTTGCAACGCCATGCCATACCCTGTGGACGGCACTTGATTGGAGCCAATTTCCTCCTACAACAGGACAATGACGCAAAGCACAGCTCCAAACTATGCAATAACTATTTAGGGAAGAAGCAGTCAGCTGGTATTCTGTCTATAATGGAGTGGCCAGCACAGTCACCGGATCTCAACCCTATTGAGCTGTTGTGGGAGCAGCTTGACTGTATGGTACGTAAGAAGTGCCCAACAAGCCAATCCAACTTACGGGAGGTGCTTCAGGAAGCATGGGGTGAAATCTCTTCAGATTACCTCAACAAATTGACAACTAGAATGCCAAAGGTGTGCAAGGCTGTAATTGCTGCAAATGGAGGATTCTTTGACGAAAGCAAAGTTTGAAGGACACAATTATTATTTCTATTAAAAAATAATTATTTCTAACCTTGTCAATGACTACATTTGACAAGTAGTTAGAAATGTCCTTCAAACATTTAGTAGTTAGAAATGTCCAGCTTTTCATTAAGAAGCACTCCTGTTCTCCACTCATTACCTGTATTAACTGCACCTGTTTGAACTCGTTACCTGTATAAAAGACACCTGTCCACACACTCAATCAAACAGACTCCAACCTCTCCACAATGGCCAAGACCAGAGAGCTGTGTAAGGACATCAGGGATACAATTGTAGACCTGCACAAGGCTGGGATGGGCTACAGGACAATAGGCAAGCAGCTTGGTGAGAAGGCAACAACTGTTGGCGCAATTATTAGAAAATGGAAGAAGTTCAAGATGACGGTCAATCACCCTCGGTCTGGGGCTCAATGCAAGATCTCACCTCGTGGGGCATCAATGATCCTGAGGAAGGTGAGGGATCAGCCCAGAACTACACGGCAGGACCTGGTCAATGACCTGAAGAGAGCTGGGACTACAGTCTCAAAGAAAACCATTAGTAACACACTACGCCGTCATGGATTAAAATCCTGCAGCGCATGCAGGTCCCCCTGCTCAAGCCAGCGCATGTCCAGGCCCGTCTGAAGTTTGCCAATGACCATCTGGATGATCCAGAGGAGGAATGGGAGAAGGTCATGTGGTCTGATGAGACAAAAATAGAGCCTTTTGGTCTAAACTCCACTCGCCGTGTTTGGAGGAAGAAGAAGGATGAGTACCACCCCAAGAACACCATCCCAACCGTGAAGCATGGAGGTGGAAACATCATTTTTTGGGGATGCTTTTCTGCAAAGGGGACAGGATGACTGCGCCGTATTGAGGGGAGGATGGATGGGGCCATGTATCGCGAGATCTTGACCAACAATCTCCTTCCCTCAGTAAGAGCATTGAAGATGGGTCGTGGCTGGGTCTTCCAGCATGACAACGACCCGAAACACACAGCCAGGACAACTAAGGAGTGACTCCGTAAAAAGCATCTCAAGGTCCTCGAGTGGCCTAGCCAGTCTCCAGACCTGAACCCAATAGAACATCTTTGGAGGGAGCTGAAAGTCCGTATTGCCCAGCGACAGCCCCGAAACCTGAAGGATCTGGAGAAGGTCTGTATGGAGGAGTGGGCCAAAATCCCTGCTGCAGTGTGTGCAAACCTGGTCAAGACCTACAGGAAACGTATGATCTCTGTAATTGCAAACAAATGTTTCTGTACCAAATATTAAGTTCTGCTTTTCTGATGTATCAAATACTTTATGTCAAATTAATTACTTAAAAATCATACAATGTGATTTTCTGGATTTTTGTTTTAGATTCCGTCTCTCACAGTTGAAGTGTACCTATGATAAAAAATGACAGACCCCTACATGCTTTGTAAGTAGGAAAACATGCAAAATCGGCAGTGTATCAAATACTTGTTCTCCCCACTGTATATTTTCATGGAAGACAAGGACATTTCTAAGTGACCCCAAACTTTTGAACAGTAGTGTATATGTTGTTTCAGCTTCATATCACACCAATGTTTGTTTTGTAGCACCTTCAGATGAACCACTATGGAGTCTTAAAGGAGGCCTGGGTAAGGCAAAAATGTCATAAGGATGCTAACTTTGATAAATTATTTCTCAATTATGCTTTTAGATACAAATGTCAAAAATATTTCCTCCAATGGACAATTCTATGGATTAAAATGTGTGAAAATCCCCCAAATCAAGGTGTCGTTTACACCAATCCAATGATTGTAAATTCATGAGGGTTTAAGTTTAAGGCTGCGTCTCATTAGTCTAGAATGGCTTCCTCATCTGCTCTAACAACATTGGATGAGTAGAAGTAATACGGCAGAAAGATTATTTGTATATACATTTTAGTCATTTAGCAAACACTTATCCAGAGCGACTTACACTTAGTGAGTGCATGCATTTATTTATTTTTCATATTGGGTCCCCGTGGGAATCGAACCCACAACCCTGGCGTTGCAAGCGCCATGCTCTACCAACTGAGCTACACAGGGCTATATAAACGCTCACCTAGCTTTGTTTTTTGATCTGTATAAACTAAGGAAAGGACCCAAGAGGTGGTCACTAGGGTCAAAAGGGGGGTGAGTGTAGTCAATGTGAACTAGCTAGCTAGTTAGCGCTAGTTAGCTGTTTGCATTAGACTAGCATCCATTGTGCAGGTGACATCCCCCGCTCTGATACATAGAAGTAGTTTTTTCCCTTACTCTCCCATAGCCTTTGTGGAGTGACAGGTAACACTTCTTTGTGCAAAGTGTTGTTGTTAACAGAAGATTGCTAGTTCGATGCAGCCTAACTGGTCTGCTACTCTAGCCCAGCGCAAGACACTCCTATTCATGCTAAATAAACAGGGGCATAACCAGTGAAGCTCAGCTTAAAATTACGCCCAGGTTCTGTTTTCAAGATTTTGACGTGCAGCTCACGAGATTGCGAACACGTGCAGCTCACGAGATTGCGAACACTTTCTCCACACCCCAGTGTAGCAGGTAAAATACCTGGTGTTTTCTCCACGCCCCAGTGTAGCAGGTAAAAATACCTGGTGTTTTCTCTACGCCCCAGTGTAGCAGGTTTAAGACCTTGTGTTTTCTCCATGCCCCAGTGTAGCTATGTAAAATACCTGGTGTTTTCTCCACGCCCCAGTGTAGCAGGTAAAATACCCTGTGTTTTCTCCAAGCCCCAGTGTAGCAAGTTAAAGACCTGGTGTTTTCTCCACGCCCCAGTGTAGCAGGTAAAATACCTGGTGTTTTCTCCACGCCCCAGTGTAGCAGGTAAAATACCCAGTGTTTTCTCCACACCCCAGTGTAGCTCCCCAGTAACTCTCTTCCCTCCATCTCTCTAGGTGAGGCCCATGACAAGGACATCCAGGTGGTGGAGTTACCCATCGTGGACAGCCTGCAACCCCGCCCCCCCTACCTGCCCCTGTCCATCCCTGAAGACCTAGCCCAGCGCCTCCACCGGCTCCATGGTGACCCGTCCGTGTGGTGGGTGTCTCAGTTTATCAAGTACCTGGTCCATCCTCAGGCCTGGCTGGAGAAGGAGATCCAGGATACCACAGCCAAGCTGGGTTTCAGGCACCCCATCATAGGGTACGTACAAATAGGAAGGACACTCTTTTTGTGTCTGTCTCTTAAGATTTTCAGTTTCAACAATCCTCTTTCTCTATACCTTTCTCTCTGCTTCTCTTTCAAACTGTCCCCAAATCTCTTTTTTTGCTATCTCCACAATACTCTCTCTCTGTTTCTCGCTCTTCCTTCTCCCTCTTTCAATATTTCTGTCTGACATACTTATTCGTTATCTTGATCTTTCTCTCCATCTGTCTGTCAATTCAATTCAATTTCAATTTAAGGGCTTTATTGGCATGGGAAACATATGTTTACATTGCCAAAGCAAGTGAAGTAAATAATAAACAAAAGTGAAATAAACAATGAAAATTGACAGTAAACATTACACTCACAAAAGTTCCAAAAGAATAAAGACATTTCAAATGTCATATTATGTGCAAATAGCTCAAGTACAAAACGGAAAACAAATAACCATAAATATGGGTTATATTGACAATGGTGTTTGTTCTTCACTGGTTGCCCTTTTCTTGTGGCAACATGTCCCAAATATTGCTGCTGTGATGGCACACTGTGGTATTTCACCCAATAGATATGGGAGTTTATCAAAATTGGGTTTCTTTTCGAATTCTTTGTGGGTCTGTGTAACTGAGGGAAATATGGGTCTCTAATATGGTCATACATTTGGCAGGATGTTAGGTATTGCAGTTCAGTTTCCACCTCATTTTGTGGGCAGTGTGCACATAGCCTGTCTTCTCTTGAGAGCCAGGTCTGCCTTCGGCGGCCTTTCTCAATAGCAAGGCTCTGCTCACTGAGTCTGTACATAGTCAAAGCTTTCCTTAAGTTTGGGTCACAGTGGTTAGGTATTCTGCCACTGTGTACTCTCTGTGTAGGGCCAAATAGCATTCTAGTTTGCTCAGTTTTTTTGTTAATTCTTTCCAATGTATCAAGTAAATATCTTTTTTTTTCTCATGATTTGGTTGGGTCTAATTGTGTTGCTGTCCTGGGGCTCTATGGGGTCTGTTTGTGTTTGTGAACAGACCCCCAGGACCAGTTTGCTTGGGGGACTCTTCTCCAGGTTTATCTCTCTGTAGGTGATGGCTTTGTTATGGAAGGTTTGGGAATTGTGTCCTTTTAGGTGGTTGTAGAATTTAACGGCTCTTTTCTGGATTTTGATAATTAGCGGGTATTGGCCTAATTCTGCTCTGCATGCATTATTTGGCATTTTATGTTGTACACAGAGGATATGTTTGCAGAATTCTGCATGTAGAGTCTCAATTTGGTGTTTGTCCCATTTTGTGAATTCTTGGTTGATGAGCGGACCCCAGACCTGACAACCATCAAGGGCAATGGGTTCTATAACTGATTAAAGTATTTTTAGCCAGATCCTAATTGGTATGTCGAATTTGATGTTCCTTTTGATGGCATAGAAGGCCCTTCTTGCCTTGTCTCTCAGATCATTCACAGCTTTGTGGAGGTTACCTGTGGTGCTGATGTTTAGGCCGAGGTATGTATCGTTTTTTGTGTGCTCTAGGGCAACGGTGTCTAGATAAAATGTGTATTTGTGGTCCTGGCAACTGGACCTTTTTTGGAAAGCCATTATTTTTGTCTTACTGAGATTTACTGTCAAGTCCCAGGTCTGACAGAATCTGTGCAGAAGATCTAGGTGCTGCTATAGGCCCTCCTTGGTTGGTGACAGAAGCACCAGATCATCAGCAAACAGTAGACATATGACTTCAGATTCTAGTAGGGTGAGGCCGGGTGCTGCAGACTGTTCTAGTGCCCTCGCCAGTTCGTTGATATATATGTTGAAGAGGGTGGGGCTTAAGCTGCATCCCTGTCTCACCCCACGGCCCTGTGGAAAGAAATGTGTGTGTTTTTTGCCAATTTTAACCACACACTTGTTTTTTGAGTACATGGATTATATAATATTTTCCCCCAACAACACTTTCCATCAATTTGTATAGCAGACCCTCATGCCAAATTGAGTCAAAAGCTTTTTTTAAATCAACAAAGCATGAGAAGACTTTGCCTTTGTTTTGGTTTGTTTGTTTGTCAATTAGGGTGTGCAGGGTGAATACGTGGTCTATCTTACGGTAATTTGGTAAAAAGCCAATTTGACATTTGCTCAGTACATTGTTTTCACTGTCTCTCTCTCTCTCCCTCTCTCTCTCTCTCTAAAAGCTACTATTCTCGCTCTATCTATCTCTCTCTCTCTCTCTCCTCTCTCTCTCTCTCTCTCTCTCTCTCTCATCTCTCTCTCTCTCTCTCTCTCTGTTTCTCTATCTCTCTCTCTCTTCACCATTCATTGTATTACATATCTTTCGGTCTCTGCTGCAACTACATTTTTCTCTCAGTCCTCTTTCATTCTCCCTCTCCTACGTTACGGCTCTATGAATCATCCTTTTTTACCAATCAAACTTTCTCTCTCATAGATTGTGCACTTTATTCTTCTTACTAACTTTTGTCTTTTTTTTGCACATTCTCCGCATTCTTTTCACTCTTGTCTTATTTTTTGTCTTGCTCACCACTTTCTCTATTTCCCACCATTCGCTCTCCCTTCTTTATTCACATCTCTATCACTTTGTCTTCTCTTGTCTCCTCTCCTCACTCTCCCCCCACTCTGTCACTGGGGAGTGCTGGTTTCCTCTGTTACTTTTCTTTTCTGCTCCACCTCATGTTCTAATAAAGTGCCTGAGTACTTCTAATAAAGTGTCTGAGTACTTCTAATAAAGTGCCTGAGTACTTCTAATAAAGTGTCTGATTACTTCTAATAAAGTGCCTGAGTACTTCTAATAAAGTCCCTGATTACTTCTAATAAAGTGCCTGATTACTTCTAATAAAGTGCCGGATTACTTCAAATAAAGTCCCTGATTACTTCTAATAAAGTGCCTGAGTACTTCTAATAAAGTGCCTGATTACTTCTAATAAAGTGTCTGAGTACTTCTAATAAAGTGTCTGAGTACTTCTAATAACGTGCCTGAGTACTTCTAATAACGTGCCTGAGTACTTGTGAAAAGCGTGAAAGCGACTAGAGGAGGAAAGCGAGGGGGGTTTCAGAGGGGGAGGGAGTGTATGAGGTGTCTCTGAGGGAACGAGATGGCGTAAGAGCCAGACTTTTGGCTACAGTGTCCCTGCTTCTCCCCGTTTCTCCCCGCTCCTGTGAAGAGCAAGGCTGCAGCAGCGGATCCTCTACCCACAGTAGGCCTGCAACCCACCAGACCAAAGCAGTTAAAAGCAGCCATCAGCACAGCCCCAGCCACAGCCACAGCTCCAGACACAGACACAGACCCAGACACAGAACCAGCCACAGCCCCAGCCCCAGAACCAGCCACAGCTCCAGCCCCAGCCCCAGAACCAGCCACAGCCCCAGCCACAGCCACAGCCTCAGAACCAGCCCCAGAACCAGCCACAGCTCTAGCCCCAGACACAGAACCAGCCACAGCCGCAGAACCATCCCCAGAACCAGCCACAGCCCCAGAACCAGCCACAGCTCCAGCCCCAGACCCAGACCCAGCCACAGCCCCAGAACCATCCACAGCCACAGCTCCAGTCACAGACCCAGCTCAGCTCCAGCTCCAGCCACAGACCCAGACCCTGCCACAGCCCCAGCCACAGACCCAGCCACAGACCCAGGGATGACAGCCAGGGAGGAGGAGGATGGAGGGATGGCACAGCCAGAAGAGGACTGGCCACCCCTCATAGCCTGGTTCCTCTCTAGGTTTCTTCCTAGGTTTTCGCCTTTCTAGGGAGTTTTTCCTAGCCACCGTGCTTCTACACCTGCATTACTAGCTGTTTGGGGTTTTAGGCTGGGTTTCTGTACAGCACTTCGAGATATTAGCTGATGTAAGAAGGGCTATATAAAATAAAATTGATTGATTGATTGATGGTGAGATTGATTACTAGAATGCCGCCTGGCGCTAAGCACCCAGGCCAACGAACGGGCGGCGAAATAAAGGGAGAAAAAGAAGAGACAACGAGAGGACAAATAAAATAGGAGGAGAGATGAAAGGAGAGAGAAGGCGGGAGAAAGAGACATGGCAGAGGGAAGAGAAGCGGAGGAGAGACAGAGACATGAAAGCACTCAGTGTCACAAACACATGCAGCTCTGCTCTTTTATTCCTCTGTTCGCATCTTTCTCTCGTTCAAACTCCCTGTCTTTCTGCCTTTATTTTCACTCATTACATTGGCACCGTTTTTCTTTTTCTATCTTCCATTCTTTCTTTCTTTCTGTTTTTCTTTCTTTAAATTGTTAATTTCTTTCCTTTTTCTTTCCTTTCTTTCTTTTCTCTCTCTCTCTCTGATTATCGGCAAGACTGGCAAGGGCACAATGATGCTGCCTGAATAATTACAGTAGTAACTGATGGTGAACGTGTTGATTGACAGTATGTGCTCCTAAACTCCTTCCCTCTCTCAGTAGTGCGCTCCCTTCCCCAATTAACGAAGAGGAGGGAAAAGGGGAGAGAAAGCAAGAAAAAGAGGGAAAAGAGATAAAAGAAGATCTGCCCAGAAAGATAGCTCTCTCCTCTCCTCTACCTCACTTCTCTCCTCCTCTCCCTCTCTCTCCCTCCTTCTCCCCCTCTTTCTCCCTCCCTCTCCCCCTCTCTTTCCCATCTCTCCCTCTCTCTCACTCCCTTCCTCTCCATCTCTCTCTCCCTCTCTTTCCCCTTCTCTCTCCCTCCCTCTCTGTAGGGTCCATGTTCGGCGGACAGATAAGGTGGGGACGGAGGCAGCATTCCACCCTATAGAGGAATACATGGTTCACGTGGAGGAACAGTTCCAATACATGGCCCGACGCATCCACGTGGACAAGAAACGAGTCTACCTGGCAACAGATGACCCATCACTACTGCAAGAGGCTAAGACCAAGTGAGTAACCACCAATACCCTAATAATGAAAGGGGAGTGAGTGTGTTGGGTGTGTGGGGTGGGGGTGGGTGTGTTTTGTGTCTGTGTGTGTGTATGTTTGTGTGTGTGTGTGTGTGTGTGTGTGTGTGTGTGTGTGGTGTGTGTGTGTTCATGGGTGCGTGTGTGTGTTTACATGCATGTGTGTGTGTCAGCGTGTATGATTGTGTTTCTGTTTGTATGTAGAAGCCCATACAGTATGTGTAATGCTGTGTCCTCCAGGTACCCAGACTATGAGTTCATCAGTGATAACTCCATCTCATGGTCAGCCGGTCTGCACAACCGCTACACCGAGAACTCTCTTAGAGGAGTGATCCTAGACATACACTTCCTGTCACAGACCGACTTCCTGGTCTGCACCTTCTCCTCACAGGTAGGGGTGCCATATCCGACACAACTCCCTTTATGGGAATATACAGTACATTATTCACTAACCTACATTCTTACTTACCTGAATAGCCAACTCATATTGTCAATGAAATGTTAAACAAGTGCAATAGGAGATGGCAAGGCAACACAAACAGATCTGGGACCAGGCAACTTTTTCATCTGAATAAATCTAAACAGCCATATACACGGAATGTAATTAAACTAACATGATTCTTCACACTTCCTGGTCACACTTCCTGTTTCCTGTATACCTACTTCCTGTTTCCTGTAACCCTGTACCAGGTGTGCCGTGTGGCCTACGAGATCATGCAGACGCTGCACCCAGATGCCTCCTCCTTCTTTCACTCACTAGACGACATCTACTACTTCGGGGGCCAGAACGCCCACAACCAGATCGCCATATACCCCCACCAACCCCGCAGCCCAGAGGACGTACCCCTGGAGCCCGGTGACATCATCGGCGTGGCAGGGAACCACTGGGACGGCTACTCGAAAGGGGTCAACCGTAAAATTGGGCGCACCGGCCTCTACCCGTCCTACAAAGTGAAGGAGAAGATCGAGGCCGTAAAGTACCCCACGTACCCCGAGGCGGACAAGCTGCTCTCAAACTCTCAACGGAAGTGAAGAAGAAAGGGAAGGAGGAAAAGAGAGAGAGAGAGACAGAGAGACACTCAGAATCAGTTACACGTTGCGAACAGAGAGAACAGTGGAAAGGGGTAAAGAGATGGTGGTGATTAGACTGCACTGAGAGTGTGTGTGTGTGTATATGTGTATGTGGATCTGTAAGTTGCGGAATCTTGCACCTGCCACCACCCCGTCCCGATGCACACAGATGGGTTATGTAGAGAAATAGGAATGAACATTGATTTCAAACGAGCCTGAAAACAATTAAAGGTCCGTAGCCGACAACGCTCACTCTCCAAGGCGGACTGGGAATTGACTATCCAATCAGGGCAAGCCTTGGATCGATAAAAAAAATATTTGAAAAGCCTTGGATCGATGACTGGAAAACAATTATAAACTAGATAAAATAACTTGTTTTCATTTTTATTAAATTATTTTTTTGTTTTAAATTGTATTCTTGCCTTCTTCTGTCTCGCCTTTGTTCATTGAATATTTTTGGTATCTTCCTCTTGCCATATTCGCTCACTGCGTTCCTCCCTTCTCCTTTCGCTCCAATAGTCCTACATCTCAATAGTCCTACATCTCAATAGTCCTATATCTCAATAGTCCTACAACTAAATAGTCCTACATCTCAATAGTCCTATATCTCTAAAGTCATTCATCTCTATAGTCATTCATCTCAATAGTCATTAATCTCAATAGTCCTATATCTCAATAGTCCTACATCTCAATAGTCATAAATCAATAGTCATACATCTCTATAGTCATTAATCTCAATAGTCATTCATCTCAATAGTCCTACATCTCAATAGTCATACATCTCAATAGTTATACATCTCTATAGACATTAATCTCAATAGTCATTAATCTCAATAGTCCTACATCTCAATAGTCCTACATCTCTATAGTCATTCATCTCAATAGTCATTCATCTCAATAGTCCTACATCTCAATAGTCCTACATCTCAATAGTCATGCATTAATAGTCATACATCTCTATAGTCATTAATCTCAATAGTCATTAATCTCAATAGTCCTACATCTCAATAGTCATACATCTCAATAGTAATACATCTCTATAGACATTAATCTCAATAGTCATTAATCTCAATAGTCCTACATCTCAACAGTCATACATCTCTATAGTCATTAATCTCAATAGTCCTACATCTCAATAGACCTACATTTCAATAGTCCTATACCTCAATAGTCCCACATCTCAATAGTCCTACATCTCAATAGTACTACATCTCAATAGTACTACATCTCAATAGTCCTACATCTCAATAGTCCCACATCTTGTCTCCTCATGTGCAATTCATTTTATACCATTTTAATGTGCTTTTTAACATGTTTGTGTCAGGTGCTTGTGGATTGTACTATATATGATGTGTGTGTGACAGATTATGAGAGATGCTGTGTGTGTGTGTGTGTGTGTCTGTGTGTGCGTGTGTGTGTGTGTGTGTGTGTGTGTGTGTGTGTGTGTGTGTGTGTGTGTCTGTGTGGTGCATGTCATCAGTGAGTGGCATCTTTATGTCCTTATTTCTGACTAAATAGTGGTGTCGTGCCTAATGAGACTGGTGGCGACAGTTGGACCCTCATAACTGAACTAGGGTGACCAATAGTGAACAGGGATGATGGTGAAAAATGTTGATCTCTTTTGAACAATAATGATCTATGGTGACCTATGATTACCTATGATGACCTTTGAACTATGGTGACCTATGATGACCTTTGAACTATGGTGCACACAGGAGCCCTCTTCAGGGTTACCAAACAAATGACTCCACCGAGCTAATGTCCTTTTGACATCTCTACGTCTGTTCTGTCCATCAGTCCATCTGTTTGTTGTTGTTGTTGTTTTTTAGTTCTAACATTACTGTTTAAAATTAAATAGGAAAGAAATAGATGCCTATGTTGAAAATGATAATGCTATGTTATTAGAGGTTTGTAGTCGATCGTGATGAAGAACTTTTTCATAGCTTATGTTCCGGGGGCATTGTCTTTGATAACAACCACTGAGCTAATAAACTTGACAAACAAAGTGGCACTTGTGTTGTCCAACTTACTTTATCTACATTAGGGGATTTCTCAAATAATTCCAGCTCTATGCTCAACCCCCCCCCTCCCCAAACTCCTTATAAATGTGTTATGAAGGTTGTTATGGATGATACTGATACTCTCATGAAGGTTGTTATGAATTATTCAATAAGAACCTACCAAGAATGTCAATAAAGATGGTGGATAAATTAAGATAATTTTCATTGTAAAATATATTCAAATGTTCCTGTCTGTGTAAGTGGGCATTCCCTCTTCTTTACAGTAATGTTCTGGTAAATCAAACTTTATTTGGAATTTATGGTAACATACTGTACCTTTTTTTACAGTAACTTACAGGTATCTGGCTGCCAGTCTATTATAAAGATTGTTAAAAGATTAGAACCAATAGGCATTATGTCATTTGTCCCTATGGGGGAATCATTTTGGGTGCCACGTAGAACCCTTTGAATTGTCCCTGTAGGTGAACCATTTTGAGTTCCATTTAGAACCCTCTCATGAACAACCAATGACAGGTTCTACAGTGATACTTACAGGATACTTCAGATGTACTTAGGGTACACACTGTAAAAAATTACTTGTCATTTGACAGTAATTAGGTGCGGATTGAATTTGCTGGCTGGGGGCTCATTAGCATATTTGGAGGCATGGTCTAAAATGTGTTGTATTTGTGCCAACTGTTAGTGGTGTTGTGCCAGTTTAAGTGGTTTATCATTATGTTGATGAAGGTTGAGCACCTAGTTTGTCTACTCCCAAAGCAAAAGAGGTGCTCAGTCTTTGACAACATAACCATCAACCACTTAAACTGATACAACACTTCAACTGACGGTTGGCACAAATACACATATATTAGATCACGCCCCAAAATATTCTAATGCACCCAACTGGTACGTTGCCCCCACCTACATTTCAAAGTGCAGTGATGATTATACCTTATATTAAAAATATTGGGTAGAAAAATGTACCATTATACTAGATTATCTTCACAAAAACCCTAAAGAGAACTGACCAGTACCATGTGAACCTTTGACCTTTTTGTACCCCAGGGAACAAAACTTTACCCTAATTTTGAGAGTGTGTGGATATATGTTCTTGGTCATATTTTTAACCCTTATTTTACCAATAACATTCTTATTTACAGCAACAATCTGGGGATTAGTTACAGGGGAGAATGATTGAGACAATTGGAAGCTGGGGATGATAAGGTGGCTATGATTTGGAATTTAGCCAGGAGACCGGGGTTAACACCCCTACAATAAGTCTCATGGGATCTTTAGTGACCACAAAGAGTCAGGTCAGCTGTTTAACATCCCATCTGAAAGACAGCAACATACACAGGGCAATGTCCCAAATCACTGCCCTGGAGCATTGGGATATATATTTTTACTGACCCTCCAGCACCACTTCCAGCAGCATCTGGTCTCCCATCCAGGGACCAACCAGGACCATCCCTGCTTAGCTTCAGAAGCAAGCCAGCAGTGGGATGCAGGGTGGTATGCTGCTGGCTAACTAAAGATGTACCTGGTGGAACTTCTGAAACATTAATGCACTTCTGCCCAAAAGCTTGCAGGTTCAAATCCCCAAAGCATTTATGCACACTTTACATCAAGTGTCCCTGAGCAATGCTATTTTTTTTACGTTGGTGTTGTCAGATAATCTGAAAATTATTGACTTGATTCTGGGCAACTTTTAGCAAAGTGCAGAAATGTATTCTTGCCACTAAATCTGTGGCCAATCTCTGTCATGCCCACAGACCTGGTGGCATAGCAGGAAATTCAGGTCAATCAAGAGGTTGTGAGGTATAGTCTCAAGTAACCAGCATTCGGCAGCATACTGTCCTTTTACAGCGATAACACCTTCATTCAGCTGTAGAAATTCAATAACTTGTTGTGGGAACCAGTAGCCTGTAGTGTACCTTAAAATGACAGGAACCTTTTAACAGTGTAACATAAAAGGAAAACATGGTGGAGAAGGAAAGACCAGGATGGTTCTTCCCAATCATCACAGCAGTAAAGAACCCTTCCTGATATGCATGATTTGTGCATGCTGGTCCAGCATGGTCTGGTTAAGCTGGTCTGCAAAACCACGTCCATCATTATCGTATTTCCCAGCATGCTCTATTGCAGCTAGAGTTTTAGATGTGTGTTTCAATATCTATGTGTGTGCTACACAAAGATAAATAACATAATTTTTTCTAAACTAATCCAACCCGTTACTGAAATGGTTTTTCCAATTTAGATGGTTTAGGTAGTCTCATCCATTCATCTTTCTAACCCTGGAAGTCATTCTGATTGCAGATTGTTGGTGAATAAAAGTTCAGATTGTTGGATAGCCCCACTCAGGCTCGACTCCAATAGGAATTATACATCACTTTGCAATCCAGCATAATGTGACTTGATGCTGTTTTTGCCGGTGACCAGCATACAGTGCATTCGGAAAGACCCCTTCACTTTTTCCACATTTTGTTATGTTACAGCCTTATTCTGAATCAACCCACTGAACAAATCTGCCACCAGAGGACAGAGAAGAACTTGTATGCCATTTGCCAGACACTTTCATCCAAAGTGGAAATCAAACCCAGAACCCTGGCAGTGTAAGCGCCATGCTCGACCTACTGAACCACACAGAACCATGTGAATACAGGAAGTCATTGTACACAGTACTTCCCTCCTCTCTCACATCCAGTGTTCTACTTCCTACAACATCTCAGCCGTTTATTATCTATTTTTATATGTCTTATTTATGTTGTCTCCTTGTCTACCCAGCACCGGTGGTGTATGGGAGCTTCATTACACAGCCCTCCTTTAATTCCATCAGTGATCTGCATGCTTCATTGGGCAGGCACAAGATAAAACACAGTGCTAGTGGGGAGATGAGTTTCGGGTGCACGAGGGAGAAAATTGGTTTTTATTGCTTTTCCCCCTTCTGACAACAATTCG